ATATACTTCTGGAAGCGAAGACTCGCTCGGGGTCCGGGTGGCGTAACTGGCAAGCGCACCGCACGGCAAGCGGAGGTTGCGGGTTCAAGCCCCGTCCCGGGCCAGTTCTTTTATTCCAGAATGTTCTAAATTTATTTATTTAATTATTAATTTAATTAAGAGATGGCACCTAACGCATACCTCTAATGTCAAATTACTTAGTTCCAATCATTTAAAATAGCCATATTATAGCCCGATAATTAGGCGATCGTTTGGTGTTGTTATTATCTACTCGGGCTGTGAATTGATGTTTATATGTGACATATACCGACATCCTATCTGTCTCTTTTCTCCATTATCACCAGGCTATGAGTTACGTAATTGTAGAGTGGGAAATCTATAACGGAAAAGTGAGAAATCGAAAGTATCGTGAGCGCGTATTATGATGTATGCATAGGCATACGTGGACTAGAACGATAGAGGAAAGAGAAATGGAAGAGCAAAGACAGGTGCCTAAAAAGAAGGATAGGCAGGGTCAGACCCTCAGATGTGCAACGATTCTCAAACAAATAGGTGTGTACTTGAGCTGATCTTTGTAATTATAAATTGTGAATACAAGTGACTACTATTATGTTTTTATTTACTTTGTGCATGTTATAAGTTATAAATAAATATAAACAAACAACACCAACCCGATAACATTAAATCTAAATACCAAAATGATTAATTTACTGCGTTTTCGTTATTTCTTACTCCTGTTTTTAGATATCCGGTATTCGGCCAAATAGTGATTAAATATTTGGTATTCGACTGAATAGCAAAAAAGAGGCTGAACAGGCCGAATACCAAATAGTAACCAAATATTCGTTACATCACTAATAATGGTATTTTAACAGTAAAACAACTTCAACTGTAAATAAGTAATTTTAAACGGAATGTATATGTGTCAACACCATCTACAAGAAATCCCAGAAGTCATGCCGACAGATGACGGGTTTATGCCCGAAACGCTTATTGACCTATAGCATATTCTGAATAATGATGATGATGTAGAAATGCCCTGTGTCTATCTATGCAACTAGTCATGAAGATTAATATAAATCAAATAATTTTTTTTGTTTTTAATTACTTATAATAAGTGTATTATGAATATAAATAACAAGATAAACCTCCTGCTATTTAAACTTCTAATTTTCAAAGAAGGAAAAATCTGGAAACCTTAACATTGAATTTAGAAGCTTATCTGAAAATATGGTAAGTAAACAACAAAAAAATTCTTCCAATCTTAAAATAATTTGAACCTTTCATTTGTGAGCATTCTAATTATTCTAAATCTAATTTTGATAAATCGGATATTAACTTTTAATTTATATAATCAATATCATACAATTACTACAAGAATACCTTTTTTTCAATAGGAGATCACAATATTTTGCTAATAGTTCTGGAGACTTGCTGGAAGAGTTTGCCATTCTGGTAATAGCATTGTTATTGATAAACTTTCCACAAGCCTATAAATGCAATTTATAGCAATTAGAATTTGATCCTTGCAACAAAAATATTAAGCAATCATATTTACATAAAAACAGTAAAGCATTTGGCATCAATTTAATTTGAAATCTTTCATACCTTATCTAATGCTGCAACAAAGCCTGCCTCATTATTGAAAGCCGTCATGACCAGAGCATTATATTTACGATGTACGTCTAATATTGTATTGACGTACATTTTTGGATCATTTAATGCCGTCTCTCCACATTTTTCGATGGCTGAAAGACCCTGATTATGAATATGGGCTTCCAAGAGATTTCTTAATTCTCCTAACCCGTCGGGAATGCGTGAAACCAACTGAAACATTCTTCCTAAATCTGAAGCAGAAAATAAACTTTATAAATTTTTTATTTCACAACTTAAAACTATAAATTTCACCATCACAACATAAATCACCTTTGCAAAAAACCTTAACAAATAAATTAAAAACTTCTGCCAATTTATTTCTATGTATCCAAATTTACATTTTTAGTCAACAGAACTTAATTTTATTTCAATTCAATCTATATTTTAAGAAATACTGCAAATTTGACAATTATTAGTAGATAAATGTTCACAAAAATATTTTAAATTTTATATTTATTTTAATGATGAAACAACATATATATAATATTTAACAAAATGTAATACCTTCATTTTTATCATCATTAAGGAGATTCTGAAATTCCGAATGAAATATTTCTAAATGTTTTTCAATTAGAACTTTCTCACAAGTTTTGGCTAAAACTTCCAACGTTGTCTCGTGTAAATACAACTGAACCCTTCTTGATTCTTCTAGTAATCTTTGTTCAGCCTAATTAAAAATTGTTATTTTCATTAATATCTAATTTAATTATACACCAACTATCTACTTAAGAACATTCACCTTTTTCATATATTCTGTAACTGGATTTTGCCTAAGAAACTCCGTGCTTTCTCTGGTATAAAATCTCTCTGTATCTTCGAGGAAGGTGTTTTCGAAAGCTTCTTTATACACCGATAACGTTTGGCCTTTGGCAGAAGGATCATCTTCGTTAAGTCCCAATTCGACTATAAAACAAATTTGTTCACATTACTAATTATATTCTTGAAGACTGCATGAAAATTATTGATAAATTTCACAAACCATAACAGTTCATTACTCCACTGACAAGTCTTGTATTTATTGTTTCTCCATTTCTTTCTTTTTCAATAAGTTTTAAAACGGCACTAGTTACCTAAAATACAAAAAGAATTGTTAAAAGTAATAACAAAAAGACTTTTTAAACAAAATTTAATAATAATTCTGTATAAAATTTAAACTTTACGAGAAAAATCAATTTTCCACAAATGTTTAACATTTAAAACTTAAATAATTGAGGTATATATTAAATATACATTAATGTAGGTATAAGATTATTTTTAGGTATCTAACAGCAAAAAAGGATGGTAAATACCTCCTAAATTTAATTTTAAATAAAATATTATAAATATAACTGATGATTTTCCTGTTTAAAGAAAAAAAATCAAAAATTAATTTTATTTTCAATTAAAAAATATGTTCTCAAAATTTTTTAGTGTTTAAGTATCATTCACCATATTAATGTAAAAGAATATGCATATGTATCATCTTTCCAAATTAAAATTAATAAATGAACTAGCAATTATTTTGTTGTAACATTGCCACAATGCCAAGCTACAGGCAGAGTACAATTTTTAATCGTATTTTTTAATTTGTTTCATTTAAACATGCTCCCCACCTTCAAATTAGTAGCGTCTTGGCCCTGTACAGTACATCATACTTTTCCTCTAGCAATCGAGTCATACTGGTCATTCAAAAGAGGTTATAACTCATTTCAGGGAAATTTTAAACTGAAATAACGTGACTTCCAGTTTGCATCAGAAGTTTGCACATAGTTAATCAGGGCCTCCTGCCCTTAAGCCTTCATCTACCTAACACCATTCTTGAGATTAAGGATGGACAGACAACAGTGGGAATTTATAAGTCTACAATTTTTTCAAATTGCAACCTAATTCAATGTGAATTTAACATTAGATATTCAAATTTATTATTATATATTTATTTTTAGAAGACTAAATTTTTATCAACTATATTTCCAATACAAACTAAAACTTAAGAAATTCTGAAAATTTGAACCAACCCTCATACATTCTTTGACCAACACAAATACACCCAATTCAAATACATGGTACATAAGTTCCAAAAATCCATCTAAAAAAATGCCACCTGCATGGAAAAATGAAAGATTCCAGACAATAAAATCCAGTAAAAATAATACAAGAAACCATTTAACATAATAGCATATGTTTGACAAAATATTTCAATTTTAGTTAATAAAACAGAAGATATGAGATACAATTGTAACTTATTGGGTTGTTCGGAAAGTAATTTCATTTTTTTTCCATGGAAAAAAAAAACAATATTTTTATAATAAATAAATATTTTATTGAATTATTTATCAACCATTTTGGTCAAATACCTGCTGTCATCGTTTCTGGTAGTATCATGATTTCACATTCATAAAAGTTTTGATCATTGCTTACAAAAAACTGATCCANCATTATTGAAAGCCGTCATGACCAGAGCATTATATTTACGATGTACGTCTAATATTGTATTGACGTACATTTTTGGATCATTTAATGCCGTCTCTCCGCATTTTTCGATGGCTGAAAGACCCTGATTATGAATATGGGCTTCCAAGAGATTTCTTAATTCTCCTAACCCGTCGGGAATGCGCGAAACCAACTGAAACATTCTTCCTAAATCTGAAGCAGAAAATAAACTTTATAAATTTTTTATTTCACAACTTAAAACTATAAATTTCACCATCACAACATAAATCACCTTTGCAAAAAACCTTAACAAATAAATTAAAAACTTCTGCCAATTTATTTCTATGTATCCAAATTTACATTTTTAGTCAACAGAACTTAATTTTATTTCAATTCAATCTATATTTTAAGAAATACTGCAAATTTGACAATTATTAGTAGATAAATGTTCACAAAAATATTTTAAATTTTATATTTATTTTAATGATGAAACAACATATATATAATATTTAACAAAATGTAATACCTTCATTTTTATCATCATTAAGGAGATTCTGAAATTCCGAATGAAATATTTCTAAATGTTTTTCAATTAGAACTTTCTCACAAGTTTTGGCTAAAACTTCCAATGTTGTCTCGTGTAAATACAACTGAACCCTTCTTGATTCTTCTAGTAATCTTTGTTCAGCCTAATTAAAAATTGTTATTTTCATTAATATCTAATTTAATTATACACCAACTATCTACTTAAGAACATTCACCTTTTTCATATATTCTGTAACTGGATTTTGCCTAAGAAACTCCGTGCTTTCTCTGGTATAAAATCTCTCTGTATCTTCAAGGAAGGTGTTTTCGAAAGCTTCTTTATACACCGATAACGTTTGGCCTTTGGCAGAAGGATCATCTTCGTTAAGTCCCAATTCGACTATAAAACAAATTTGTTCACATTACTAATTATATTCTTGAAGACTGCATGAAAATTATTGATAAATTTCACAAACCATAACAGTTCATTACTCCACTGACAAGTCTTGTATTTATTGTTTCTCCATTTCTTTCTTTTTCAATAAGTTTTAAAACGGCACTAGTTACCTAAAATACAAAAAGAATTGTTAAAAGTAATAACAAAAAGACTTTTTAAACAAAATTTAATAATAATTCTGTATAAAATTTAAACTTTACGAGAAAAATCAATTTTCCACAAATGTTTAACATTTAAAACTTAAATAATTGAGGTATATATTAAATATACATTAATGTAGGTATAAGATTATTTTTAGGTATGTAACAGCAAAAAAGGATGGTAAATACCTCCTAAATTTAATTTTAAATAAAATATTATAAATATAACTGATGATTTTCCTGTTTAAAGAAAAAAAATCAAAAATTAATTTTATTTTCAATTAAAAAATATGTTCTCAAAATTTTTTAGTGTTTAAGTATCATTCACCATATTAATGTAAAAGAATATGCATATGTATCATCTTTCCAAATTAAAATTAATAAATGAACTAGCAATTATTTTGTTGTAACATTGCCACAATGCCAAGCTACAGGCAGAGTACAATTTTTAATCGTATTTTTTAATTTGTTTCATTTAAACATGCTCCCCACCTTCAAATTAGTAGTGTCTTGGCCCTGTACAGTACATCATACTTTTCCTCTAGCAATCGAGTCATACTGGTCATTCAAAAGAGGTTATAACTCATTTCAGGGAAATTTTAAACTGAAATAACGTGACTTCCAGTTTGCATCAGAAGTTTGCACATAGTTAATCAGGGCCTCCTGCCCTTAAGCCTTCATCTACCTAACACCATTCTTGAGATTAAAGATGGACAGACAACAGTGGGAATTTATAAGTCTACAATTTTTTCAAATTGCAACCTAATTCAATGTGAATTTAACATTAGATATTCATATTTATTATTATATATTTATTTTTAGAAGACTAAATTTTTATCAACTATATTTCCAATACAAACTAAAACTTAAGAAATTCTGAAAATTTGAACCAACCCTCATACATTCTTTGACCAACACAAATACACCCAATTCAAATACATGGTACATAAGTTCCAAAAATCCATCTAAAAAAATGCCACCTGCATGGAAAAATGAAAGATTCCAGACAATAAAATCCAGTAAAAATAATACAAGAAACCATTTAACATAATAGCATATGTTTGACAAAATATTTCAATTTTAGTTAATAAAACAGAAGATATGAGATACAATTGTAACTTATTGGGTTGTTCGGAAAGTAATTTCATTTTTTTTCCATGGAAAAAAAAAACAATATTTTTATAATAAATAAATATTTTATTGAATTATTTATCAACCATTTTGGTCAAATACCTGCTGTCATCGTTTCTGGTAGTATCATGATTTCACATTCATAAAAGTTTTGATCATTGCTTACAAAAAAACTGATCCAAGTGATTTTAGACATTATCATTTCAAGTAAATGTCTTACAGTTAAAAAAAATTTGTATAGACCGGAACAAGTAATAATCTGTGTGTGCTCGATCTGGCAAATATGGTTGGTGCGATAGCATGTCCCATCTAAGTTATAACAGTTTCTGACAAGTTACCAAACTTGTGTGAAATTTGACATTATCGTGGTATCAACACTACACCCGTTTTGTTGATCAATACTGGCTGCCTTTTCTGTTTGATGATATTACTCAATTTGTTTACTCGATGGCAGTACACTTTTGAATCAATTGTTAAATTGTTAAATAATAAATTTGCTTAAAATCCCACCAAATAGAGCATCTCTCTTTAAGAACATGTGGAATCCATATATCAAGCTTTGAAACAAAACCAATTTGTTTCAAGTAATCATAAACAGTTCAATTTGACAAATTTCATCTCTTAGTGATTTCACGTGTTGTAATTTGGCAGTTTGCTTCAATCAGTACCTTTATTTTGTTTTCATTGGCTTCAACTGGCCATCCAGAACGTGGTGCATCTTCAATATTGAAATTGCTACAATGAAATTTTGTAAATCAGTTTTGGCACTGTCTTTCTCTCAACACATCATTTCCATACACGTCACACAATTTTTTCTCATTTGAACAGCATTCTTACCTTTTTGATAATAAATGAGCAAAATATGCCAAAAATGCTGCTTTCAATCTTCCATATTTGATGGGACATAAAAAATAAACAATTGCACAAAATCAAACAAAATTTTTTACAAATAAGCCTTAAAATGCTATCTGTCAAAATATATAATGATAATATGGTTTAGAATGAAAATGGCAGGAAAAATACGACTAATCCATCCAGTGGTAAAAAGAATGAAATTACTTTCAGAACAACCCAATATTTATTGGCAAAATATAATCAACTGATATTGTTCACACAATTTTTATTTTAATTTCTTATTCAATGTTTTCACTTAAACACCAACATACATGTATCTTATAACATCAAATGACAAAAACTATTAAACTAATTGCAATTGTACAAACAAACTCTCAAATGATAACATCCATTAGGAAGCAAAAAATAGATAACCCTATATTGACAAAATAAAAATTATAATTTTTACAGCTAAATGTAAAATTAAAGTACCTACACCTAGCTACAAAACAGCTGAATTATCAACACTGCCAATTGATGCTACACACCTTCAAATACATTGTATAAATGACCAAATCTTAAAATTCACTTGAGTATGTATAGCACTTTTAAATGCAAATTATAACTAAGACACTCACAACCTTTTTAATTAAGTAGCAAAAACACAAATAAGGTTTTTGGTATTATTAGAAGACTGTCTTCAGGTTTACAAAAATTTGGAAAACATTGTTCATTAAAATAACAAATAAATAAATAAATACCAAAACTACATAAATGAATATATAAAAATAAATAATAAAAGTAATAAGTTACAAAATACATAAATGTCATCCACAAGAGTGATGAAAAACAAAGGTAAGAAATAACTGAGAAAAATATCCTTGAAAGTTACAGGGTGTCAATCTCAAACCACACACTCCGAGCATTCGATAGTGAGCTATGGTCTTTTATAGTTAATGGATAGACCACGACATATCGATTTATATATTTCCGAGGATTCTGTCGAATGAGATATTTGTTCCTGATGGTCTTTCTAATCTTGGCCTCTTTCCACTGTACATAAACCTGTAGGAAGTAGTTTAATAATAATAATGCTATTTTGATAAGAACAAACAAATCAAGAGAGTTGTTCATTTCATCCAGATCTACCTACAATTATGCTCTGCAAGAGTACATCACTGCTACTAATTGCAGTAAAGCCAACAAATGGCTCATAGACCAATTATAGAACATAATCAGGCATTTCACTGACACTACTTTGGCACAGAAGCTATGCACAGATAGAGCCATTGTTCCCTCTCCTTCCATCCCGAAATTGTTTGCTTTTGCAAAAATCCACAGGCCTGCTAATAAGCTTATTGGTGGTTGATAAGAGCTGCTCTTCCTCCATGCATTCTTATTTAGAGAATTCTCAACAAATACATGACACAATATATACCATCCTATAAGAGCAACTTCATCAAACCTTTGTGCCTCATTGAGAAATTATACATAATCACATTACTTAATAAAGAGTATATCACTGTCTTTGACTTTGAGGCTTTATACACATCCATTTACTTTGAACCTTGTTTTTTCCAATTACAGGACTTCCTCTTTGGTCAGTTCGAACACACTCCACCTCTTCATTGACAGATTTTGGAGCTGGCACTCACTGCCACTTGCTCTTCCGTTTTTCCAATTTTATGACACCACCTACACATAACAGAGGAGTATCCATACTCTTTCAGGGACAGCTGTGAAATGATGATTAGATCTTTTAGAAAAGCATTGTTGCTTAAATGTAGTTCTAACATCCATATCTAGTCAGATACATTGAAAACAAATTGATTATACATGGAACACAAAACCTGACACAAGGCAATTTTTATGTGATTGTCAACTCCAATTCATATGGCCTGACTTTAGGTCAGGTTGTTCGTTCATGTTTTTTGGCACAAGAACCATATAGGCTAAGCTGTGCCATGTCAGATGGTGAATAAATGAATTTACAAAATATATAAAATATTAACAAAAGACAATAACAAATGTATAAAACTGTACAAATAAACAAAACAACAGGTTATTTAAAAATAAAATAAAAACAAGAACTTATACTGAAATGAATAATATAAATAAAATAAAATAATCCTTTAACTATCCAGCAATAAATAATGTTTAATAAAAATGGTTGAAAACATTTTTATTAAACATTATTTATTGCTGGATAGTTAAAGGTTTATTTTATTTTATTTCGATCAAGAAACATCCTAGAAAGCCTTCAGAACTAAAAGAAGAGAGACAGAGACAGGAAAGTTTTGCATAAACCATATATTACCATTATTTCAGGTCATACAAATCCTTTTTGAGAGTTCTGGGATGACTGTCAATACAAGTAATCTATCATGCAATTCTCAATCAGTATTACATGTACCATCAGTGGTATGCAAGAAGGATTTGTTAGTGCTACAAGTCTACACACAAAAGGCTCAGGTGGTATGTGAAAGAAAAAAAAAATTTGAGAACCACTGGTATAGAAGATTCTCCATGCTATGGGTTACAATATCACAAACTCTTTATAAATTGAAGTTTCTGTACATTAAACACCTGAGAACTCTTGTTTAACTCCAATAAGTCCTGCTTGTAGAAAATAAACATAACATTTTCGATCCTTCGCTTTCTTCGAATCTTCNCTGCAAATGATGTTTTTTTTCTGTAAATATATATTAAAACGCACTTATATACTTTAATTTTTTTTTAATAATATTATTTACTTTATATGCGATAAAAGAGGATAATTAAACTAATTTTCGATATTTTAAATTATTTACTATTAAAATAAACCACTATCAGATATAAAATAGAGTTTTATTTTAAAAAACTACAACCGCCGACCTTGTACTGCGTCACGACGCCACACGACGCGCCGGCAGTCATAGCTAGAACCGGTTTGCCATACGACCGCCGGCGTTCAAAGCCAACTGAATAGATATCCACCAGAGGCCAGCACTAAGCATGCAGAAAAC